CTTAGCTCTCCGGGTAGTTTTCTAAAATATTTATTTCCTATTTCTTCATCAAAACTTTTTCCAGTTCTAGCTGCTATGGCTAAGTATTCTTTACTAAAGGGTACAATATATTTGCAACTTCCTAATATTATTTGATCTAACTCAGTTAATGCTATGCTTTGAGTATAATCATTTCTCCTAGAAGGGTCATATCCTATAAGTATTTCTTTTATAAAACTAGTAAAATTCCATGGGTTATCTCCTAATCCTTTAAGCTGTTTAATTGTCTCCTCATATTTTCCTTTAAAGGTTAAATAAATATTAAAAGCTGAATCTCCTAAAAGTGTTTCCATATATTCCCACATATCAGTTGATTCAAAGGGATTACTCATCCATGCTTTTACCACATCTTTTTCCCATTTTTCTATTACTTTTTGCCATATCTGATAGTCGAATCTGGCTAAATCTAAAAGGGTTCCTTAGTTGTTGGTTGGCTGTAATTGTATACTCATATCTGGTTGTCTACGCTTTCCATGAAACCTATAACTTTTACTTGAGTCTGCCTTACTTCGTCCTGAACTAGCTAATGGTCTTCTTTCTCCTACCGCATAATGCATTGGTTCTATGGGATCTTCTACAGTTAGAACAACTAATAAGGTCTTTTGCTATGATGTATTTTATCTTCTATGATATCATCTACATAATCAGTATGAAATTCTTGGTCTAAAAATGACACTGCTTCATCATGGGTATCCCATCTAGCTAAGTATTCATAATATCTAGTATCTAATATTTTATTCATGTCGCCTAGGGTGAAATTTTCTAAATCTATCTCATCAATATTTTATATCTTATTTGGTGATATGGTTTTTTCCTCTGTCATTACATAAAGCTGATTTATGTCATTATGATTATTTTGATTTTCTTCCCTATCTATACTGCTAAATTCATCATCTTCAGATTTTTCTGGTGCTACATACGTAAATTGAGTAAATCTTACTGCATAGCTTCCATCTGCTTTTTTTTAAATAATCTAGTAGTCCCTATTAGCTTTTTTATCACTACTCATAAACTAAGACCTTATTAGTTGTTCTAAAATTTTTAATTTCTGTTTTAAATTATCTTGAATTTGGTTGATTTGTTCTATTTGTTTAGCTATTCGATTTATCTGAGTATGAATTTTTTCAATTAGTTGCTTTAATTCTAACTCTATTTGCTTTGAACTGCTATTATTTATAGCTGAAATAAGAGTTTCTATTTTAGCTTAGTAGGAAATTTTTCTAAATTTAAATCTGTTCGTTTTTGTAAAATTGAACTACACTGGTCTTGGATATAATTTAATTTTTTATCTTGATCTTTAATTATACTACGATTATTACGGAAATGATCTATAGATGAAATAAAAAGATTATTAATTTTATCTATATCCTTTTTAATATTTTCTGCAAAATTAATCTGATAATCTACAATACTATTTAACTGAGGATTATGTTCATTATGAAGCTGATGTGTAAGAGTATCTTTAAAATTACAATGGAATTTATTTTTATCTATATTAAGTCGATTGTTATTGATTGCTGAGTTCTAAATCTAAATAATCTATTCTTTTCATACACAAAATTAACTCCTACTTTAAAATTATTACAAGCTACTATAATATGAAATTTATAACTAAATTGTCCAAAAATAAAAATTACTCTATTTCCATAGGCAAAATGCATAAACTAACTTAAACTGTCCTAAAACTGAACACTGCTCTGATACCAATTTTTTTGGGGGATGAGTTAGTGGTCTACCACTATTTTGAAATAGGGCTAAGAATTATCTAATTAATTCTACAGTTATGCTAATAAGTCTTCAAGCTGTTGTATGGCTAGCTTTAAGGCTTCTTGTTTTACAATTATCTGTCTATTTATTTAAGAGATTTTTAGATTGTAATTTTCTAGGGATCTGTCAGAAGCTAATGATAAGAAAAATTGATATCTTAATTTTTGGTCTTCTAACTCTTGTATAAGTTCAGTACTGATTTTGATTTTAATCCTAAGTTTTTCTTCTAAGGACATAAAGTTTTGATTTTTAAATTCCTTGTATGGACAATATTTCCTTAATATTTCTACTCGGGTTGCTCTCCTTTATTCTAAAATTCTTTTTCTTTGGCAAAACTATTTTTAGGCAATGTTTGTTTTCATTACATGTACTCCCACCTTAAAGCTAAGCTTTGTTCAACATAGTATATTTTTATTTTCTATTTTTTACCTTTCCCCTTCTGCCTACAATTTGCCCTCAAACGCCTAACCACGGCTCACACGGGCTCTTCAGCTAAGGTCACTTAGTAATAAAATAGAAAACAACAGATATTACGAAGGTGCAAAGCATGTAATATTAATGAGCAAACAAGCATTCCATAAATTTAGTTTTTCCAAAAAGAAAATAAATTTTTAAAATAGAAGAGTTACCCTTTTGAAATATTTAAGGAAAAATGGAGACTACTCACACTTCATATTAATAAGTAGTATACTTACAAAGATTATGTTACAGACGCTGACTTTCTGGAAGACTTGGAACACCTAGAATTTTTGAGAGGGGTTGGAAGTTTTTACAAAGTGGAGTGAAGGGAAATTTTTTTTATTCTGCTTCTTCCGTTGGCATGAATGTCAATTTATACACATGGTTGATAGATACATACAAGTCCAAAGATTACAAACAATCCAAAGAAAAACTATAGGTCAAAAGTTTGGACTTAAAAATCTAAAAGACTACTCTAGTTTAGGCCATTGACTTTTACAACAATTTCTATGCCATAAATGCATAGATTTTGACTTAAATTACTATTCTAGATATGAATAAAATTTTATCAATAAAATATTAGGATAATAATATCGGGTACTACTTTGGGCCCCATCGCATATCATTCAATCCTCCATTTTTGATAAAATTTTGACACTATAATTTATTAAAGACACGTGTAAGGATTTTCACAACTTTTCTTTAATGGAGCAGGATGGGGGTCATCTGCTCTATTAAAATAGTGAGTGAAGGAAAAGTCTTATCACTGACAGACGCAAATAATTACAGACACAAATATTTACAGAATTTTTTATCGTTTCTTGGCGTGCATTTCTCTGATAATTGAAGAGAGGCCTTATCTTTTACGGATTTTATCTTCTTCTACTGAAGTATCAATTATTGATGTAGACCCCTGGAGTGAATCTTCAAGGTGGATTTGCAAAGGATCAAGGAAAATTTCTCAATCTAGAAAACAAGGGATTGTTAGGATACTTTCAAATATTGCAATAGTCTATTTATGATGTGCACGGATTTTTTTTTTTTTCCCGAGATAGCATGTCCCATTCATTGGTTTAAACGGTTATTTAATAGTCAAAAGTTAATATTTTGATTTTTTAATTTTATTTTTAAAAAAATGTGTCAAAAATATGAGATTATATAACTTTAAATAAGTTAAAAGTGAAAAGGCAACTTTTGGTATCTTTCAAAATAGTTCAAAGTTTGGAGTTATGTTAGAGACTCTAAATAAATTATTAAATTTTTTACTAAACCTTTCACATGACACATATGTGATTTGTGTGGGCCTCACTTTCACGTGAGAGGTTTGATAAAAAATTTAATAATTTATTTGGGATCCATAACATTTTTCCAAAGTTTGTTGCCATGAGACTGTAGGTAGCCAAAATAATATTGCATTTGATTTATTGATCATATTCCCCACCAAATTTATCATTTTTATAGGCAATGATCCTCGATGTCCACGACAGTAATTTTAACATTACACAAAACCAACATTGTCCTCCAATTAAAACATAAACACACAACAGATGAAGGCCAAATGTGACATTTCAATCATCTCAGGACTTTTTGGTTTAAAAGAAAAGATGCAGGACTACATAGTGCATAAGTCATTAATTTGGGATTTATTGGTCCTTCACCCAGATAGATAAATTTGAAAATAGAAATTCTCGTATCCTTTTATGAGGGGAAAATTTTCAAAACTAATTACCACAGCACCATTGAAAACTATTTTGGATCTTTGCTTCTTTTTACATTTTCTCCCTTTTTCTTTTTTTTTCTTTCTTTATTTATTTATTTATTTTTTGGGCCTTTTTTCAGAAGTTTTATGATTTTTGTTTAATGAGTAGGCTATGTTTGGTTGGCATGAACAAAAATGCAGAGTAAGAATCTCATCCAAGTTTTATTTTTTCTTTCCGAATTAACTTTTTTAAGGCCAAATGAGTAATCTTATTCCCACATTACCCTAAAAAAATATAAACAGTTTTATGATTTTTGTTTAATGAGTAGGCTATGTTTGGATGGCATGAACAAAAATGCAGAGTAAGAATCTCATCCAAGTTTTATTTTTCTTTCCGAATTAACTTTTTTAAGGCCGAATGAGTAATCTTATTCCCACATTACCCTAAAAAAATATAAACTAGTAGATCGACTCACAAAATCTAAAATTTTATTATTTTTTATTACAAAAAATTCTAACCAAATCAAACACTAAATTACATTGATACAGGAATCATACTATAGTAATGAAATTGTTAATAACTAATCAATCATTATTCCTTTCATCCAAACATAACCTTAATCCAACCCTCCATTCTCTCTCTCTCTCTCTCTCTCTCTCTTTGTTTTTTTTTTTTGAGAAAGAAAGCACAACAGAAAGCATAATATCATACCGGGAAATTGTTTACAGAATGCGCCAAATCATGAGCAGGTTTAACATTCGTACGCTTTATCTTACAAAAACAAAGATAATCAAAAGTGACATAATATTTGCTATTAGAGTGACATAATTTTTGGAAATTTTGTTCCCTTGCCCATTGAATTGACTTCAGACAAGCTATCACTTCCGCCACTAAAGATGATGTAAGTGTAAGTTGTTGAGCCCTTTGCGCTACTGGCTGCCCATCACTTGTGTAACAAAATCCTCCATTCTCTTTAGAAAGAAAGCCCAATGTCCATGATTCCAATTTACACTTTGAAAATCCAAAATTACTCTCAACTTAAATGACCAAACCACCCTCTATGAGGATATCATTTTAGTGGTCAGCAATAGGCAAACTCTACAAACAGATATAACTGAAATCAAATCACATACACAACTTCTCTCTCATACACTTCCAACAATACCATCCTCACTCAAACACTTCACCATGGCTCACTTAGCAAACTTGAATGGAATCTCTGAAACTTTACTACCCATTCCTAAGCTTCCAAACCTCCAAAGGACCCCGAAGAGGACATCAATACTTGGATTTCATGGCAACCAAACACAGGAATTTCAAGACCAACCACTCATCCAAACAACAAGAAGGATAGCAATTGGGATTGCCTCAATTGCACTGTTTGGAAATGCCAGCATTGGAAAATCTCTTGCAGAGGACAATGGGTTTTGGCTCACTAGTCCTCTACCTGTACCCACTGTCAACAACAGTAAGTATTCACTTTTCTCATACAAATTTCAGTTTTGCCATTCTGTTGATTTTTCTCAAAACTCCCTACCTAGGAATGGCAGTTTGCCCCGCCCTGTTCTTCATGGGTTTTCCATATCCCAATTGGAAATGGGGAGGGGGCGGGATTTGCTTTTTCTACCTCCATTCTGATTATATTAATTACATAAATTTTGTATGTATATATCTATATTGTATTTAATCTGTTAAACATAATGCAAGTGAAGCACCAAAATAATTATATAAATCTTCTGTTTTTTTTCCACCTCTATATCTTTCATCTTTAATCTTTTTACTTTTCATTACTCATCAATCTTGTCATTCATATGTTGTACCATCTCTCTTTTTAGTATCATCTCCCTCCTAATGGTGATAAATTACCCCAATAATTCCCCTCTCCTGCCCGACCCCTGCTGCCTCCCCCCAAAAAATGGGCAGAATGGGATACCACAAACCCGACCCTATCCCATTAGCATTCCTACTCCCATCCCGAGACTATTGCTCTTATTGACCAGTGAGAGCACCATATCAACGTGTTGAATTAGTATTCCGGCACCATATTAAGCTCTTTGGTTCAAACGAAATGTTGAAAATGCGTCTAAAACAAGCAACCAAACTTTCTTTTGAACTCTTCCATGGCTTTTTTATGATTCAAGAGATTGCAAACAAGGAGACCGGGACTCGTTCTTTCCTCAAAAAAGGAATTTACATTGCAAACATTGGGACAAAGGGAAGCGCACTCAGGCTAAGGAAATATGCATTTGATCTCCTAGCAATGGGAGATTTGATAGCCCAAGATGCCTGGAGTTTCGTTCGGAGATACCTTCGCCTCAAGTCGACCTTCATGTACTATGATTTCGACAAACTAATCTCAGCAGCACCAGCAAATGATAAGCAACCTCTCACTGACCTCGCCAACAGATTGTTCAACAGTTTTGAAAAGGTAAAGCCACTTACCTTTTGAAGCCTGCATTTCCCATCTGGAGTTCTGAGAAACATTTCTGTGTTTTCAATGTTTTTTGGCAGCTTTTAGACGCTGTGATAAAGCATGACCTTCCTCGGACAGAATCGTGTTATCAAGACACTACAACTATTCTGCAAGAGGTCATGATTCGAATGGCATAAATCAGCACAACATATCAATCTGATTTCTCTATTGTGGACTGTGCAAAACATCACAATTGTTCATAAATTCGAAAAGAGCAGTGTTATGTATTCTTTTTTCGTCTCCATTTTCAGTTAAATCATACAAAGGATAAGCGAAAACACATCGTGGTTCTGATCCATGTCAATAACTCTTGGTAGAATCTTCACAAATACAAATTTAATGACTCAAATGGGCAAACCCTACTTACTATCACTGATGCAAGCCCAATATTCTTTTTTCACTATACAAATTACAAGAAAACTATGTTAGAACTTATTTCATTTTTTAGTTAATAATTAGATGATATGCAGATAAAGAACACAGGATTTTCTCAAAACAAAATCATAAACCTTTTTTCTATCAAAATCAACCATAGCTCAAGCGAGCCTCTGAAGACCGCATGTTGGTCTGACGCCGAGGAATCCCAATCTCACAAGCATTAACCCTTGCTGCAAACCTAAGTGAACAAAGTGATTCACCCATAGAGGAAGGATCGGGAGAAATATTCACAAACATCAAGGTCTTCGAGTCCCCACCTAGGCAAGGCTGATTAACCGTCGATTGGTCAGAAGATATCTAAAAAATTAATAAATCATCGACAAAAAAAAATTGCATTGTTCTAAGTTGAAACATTTACCTGGAGAAGATATGTAAGCTTTGAGTGCCTAAATGGCACGTGGTCCTCCTTCTTTGCCAAGGCAAATATAACATCGCTTAGAGATGACAAACTCTTATTAATGGCCTGCATACAATCATACAAAAAACAGTTTAATTAGGTAAAATTGATTTTGAAAACAAGATTACAAAATTAAGTTATCATGGTTTTGATCAGTACTTGTGTTTCTTTCAGCCGGTCGCCAGTAGAGCCGCTCTTAGAGAGACGCTCACTTCCAGCAAGGTCAATAAGATTCAAAACGCCTTGTACTTGTTGCTCAGTGCTCTTAAAAATAGAATGAGGTTAATCAAGATGCATATATTCGTGTGGTGTTTGTGCATGTTCGTGTACCTGTGTGTGTGCGTGTGTGTGTGTGTGTGTGAGAGAGAGAGAGAGAGAGAGAGAGAGAGAATCAGAGTACATTAACACACTCGAAGGGGGCCAATTCCGATTATTATTCATACCTCATTAACACCTGATATTCGGAGAGTGAAGACGAAATGACTTCTCGAAGAATGCTCATTCATCTGGGTCTTGCCTACCGACCTAAATGAAAACGAAAAGTTTTCCCTCATTAACACAATCAATATTTTCCAAGAGACATTTTATCAAATTTAAACACAAAAAATAAAAATAAAAATAAAAATAAAAATAAAAAACAAAAAGCAAAAAGTGGTATTGGAAGGAGCATATAATACCTGCTTTGTGCAGCCTGATCTAAAAGAAATGAAACCTCTCTACTACTGCGAACATCCACAATGGTCAGGTCAGAGACATGAGTGTTGCCATTTGCATCATGTTTGATTGCATACTGCTTTCCTAAAACAACATTCTCTGTTCGTAATACGTCTGAACAGGGTCGATTCACTGATAACAAATCACGTATCGTTTCATTGTATATTTCCAACATTGACACCTATAAATGTTTTTTTGGAATTGATATTCAGTAACCGTGATAATTAAGCACATCAATATATATAAAGCAATGAAAGAGGGAAAATCAAGAAGCGAGTTTTATTACATACCTGCATTTCGTATTTCCATCCTTGGGATTGAAGAGATTGCCTAGTCTGAAAAATCTGTTCTAATGAGCGTGGTATCAGTCCTTTCTGAAATGGGTTTCCGGGCCTGCCCATCATAGTATAGGTTTTACCAGAACCCGTTTGGCCATAAGCAAAGATGCAAACCTGGAGCGAAAAACTGTTATCATTCTCCAGGAGCTTGAATGCTGCTATAGTCTACAAGTCTATTGGTACGCAGGACAATCACAAAATCTTGCCTAATTTTAATTGTCCCTACTTAAATCTTAAACATGTATATATTTAGGTAACTTTAACTGTCCAACACTTGGACACCAATTGCAAGAACTATTTAAAAAAATAAAAAATTAATGATAGGGCAAACAATGAAAATACTAATAATAACGACAAAAAAGTGCCCGCATATTGAGTTGACAAGAAAAATCAAGAACCAAGAATGAGTAGAGACAAAAATGGCCTTGAAAGATTTCTTGTAATCACAGATTCAAATGATGAGATCTTTAATGGTAGTGGGGAAAATTACATTTTGAAAAAACAATAAAAGAATGGGCTATTGTGTATCACCAATAGTTTTATGTAAATGTATCATGTATTGTAAGATTTCCACCAAAAAAAAAAAAAATCCTCTCTTGAGGCCTTGAAATTTCTCATAATTATATATTCAAGTGATTAGATCTTCAATCGTATCCAAGAATATGACAATTTGGAAAATAATGAAAGCATCACTCACCAGTAGTTATATGTGTTAGATAATGTCTCAATGGGACCACATAATTAAATGTGGTGTTATCATTTATAAGAAGCCTACAATTTAAGTGATTCAATTTAGTTAATAGGCTTAAGGGTATATGTGTTATGGACCTAATGTGTAGATACTAGTTGTATAATTTCTATTTCTACGAGGGGCAGAAATAGAAATTAAAACATATTGGTTAAAGTTGGTTTTCATTCCTTTTGAACTTCCACAACCTTTCAGTTTTGAAAACCAATAAATAGAAATTAAAACCAATAATGGTTAAAGTTGGTTTTCATTCCTTTTGAACTTCCACAACCTTACAGTTTTGAAAACCAATTACAACCTTTAAAAGGTTATGGTCCCTATTCCTTCCCAAGTGGAAAAATAAGAACACTGCCATTTTTTCCTAAATCCTCTCAAGGAGAAACATAAGGCACCAAAGGGGAAAGGATTAGAAGGTAATAACATAATCAATAACAAAGAGTTCATTGATAATCACGCTTCCGTTTAACCGTTCATCAATGGATTCAGGTATGTCATTTTGTCTTGATTTCTTGATAATACACATGGTAAATGATCAAAAGTGTAAGGTTTATGTTCTGAAATTTATGTTTACAATATGTAGAAGTATATATAACTGTGGCCTATGTTGATATAATAAATACATGGCATGACTCGATTCAAATTGTTTAATCGAAGTAACTAAAAATTGCAGTCCACTAGGCAACAGTTTACCTTATAACCATCAAGAGCACTCTGTACAAGTTGTGAGATTTCCACAAAAACATCCTCTTGTGAGGCATCAGGCATGAATACTTTATCGAATGTGAAAGAATGTTTTTGTCCTGAATCTCCTGATGACAACAGAAACATGGCGTGAGATCAGAGTACACATAAAGCGCGCAAAAAATATCTAGGCACACTACAAATGAACTTCTTTATTAAGATTTTCAAAGAAAAGAAATAAAGATATACCATTTTGTAACAAGTCAATGCCTCGCCCAAGTGCTTCAGTTGATGTGGGATAAGAAAAAACTTTTGCTTCTGTACCTACGCCATCATCAGGCAACAAAGGTCGTACTCTACAGAAAACGCGGATGTTCCCCTTTAGTTCCTGCAGTGGAAAAGCATTAAGTAGTGAAAATCTTTATGTACCATCCAAAAAGTGTGATATAATTTTTTTTTTTTTTTTGGACAGGTTAAGTATTGTATAAAATCTTTACCAATATTGTATTGTGTAATTTTTTACGTAGATTCTCTCCTTCAATAATTTTCACTTCTGCGACAGCAAGACGACATTGTAAGTCGTGAATAAGTTTCTTTTGCTCTTCAAATTCTGTTCTTGTCTCCAATGCAGATAAATCAGACATCTGAAAACAGGATATCCAACATAAACATTAAATTCACAAAATAGTAAGGGTTAATAGTAAACTTTGGATAGTTTTGGTTGTCATATTTTGTGTTGCACAGGTTTATAATGTTGTGGACAGATTTTGGAATGATCTGGACAGATTTGGACAGTTTTTTTTTTTTTTTTTGGACAGGTTAAGTATTGTATAAAATCTTTACCAATATTGTATTGTGTAATTTTTTACGTAGATTCTCTCCTTCAATAATTTTCACTTCTGCGACAGCAAGACGACATTGTAAGTCGTGAATAAGTTTCTTTTGCTCTTCAAATTCTGTTCTTGTCTCCAATGCAGATAAATCAGACATCTGAAAACAGGATATCCAACATAAACATTAAATACACAAAATAGTAAGGGTTAATAGTAAACTATCCATCCATCAAACAGATAAACAGTATAACTATCATATAACATCAATTCAAAATATGTCTTTAAACTACCAATTCATCATCTTGGAAATCCAAAAAGATTATGATACCTGTAATTTATTGTCTGCAGCAAGAAGTTGATCTTGCAATGTTCTTATCTGCTCACTTTGAGACAGACATCTTTCCTGTTTAACAAACAGATCTTGAAGATTTATTAATGAAGGCCTAATCTCTTTTTGAGAAAAAAGTAGAGAAACATGAATAGACCTCCAATTCATTGGACTTTAATGTTAGAGAGTCCAACTCAGCGAAGGATTTTCCACTACGTTCTTTATATTTCACAATTTCATCTGTTAACGCCTGCACTTGTAACAATTGGCGATCACGATCTTCTCTCACTTGCTGCAGATCTCCCCTAAGGGATCCAACTTCACTCATAAGAGCTTCTTTCTGATTCATAGCCTCATCTTGTAAACCCTAACAAAATTATTTATGAATAAAACACTCAATCAGAGATCAAACAATGAAATAAAGGATCACAATTTGATTCCAGCAATGCAACTTGAAACAACCAATCACACTCGGGAATGTTTCATTGTATAGAATTGGCATATGCATAAACACCCTCTCTGTTCTGCATTAATGATGTACCAAGAAATCAATATATAATTTCAACGTTTGTGTTGCTAATGAATAGCACAGAAAAGAAGGAACTCACTCGAGATGAAATTAGCTGTTCCTGCAACATAGTATAGTGACCCCTTATGGTGCTGAGATTCTCCACTACAGCAGCTTTCTCTTTCTCCACGCGCTTAAGGGTTTCATTATTTGTAGCAAGTTCTGACTGAAGTTTACTGTTGTAATGTTGCAAACTTGTGTTGTACTCCTGCAATCGCTTGTACATATCGTTCAGCGATGAAATCTGCAGAATCCAACAAACCCAGATGAGGATGTAATGAAGTGAAGTGATTTCTTGCAGATAAATGAAAAAATGATCTTTTTTTTTCTTCTTTTTTTGTTTTTTTTTTAAATTTAAATTGCAAGTTTTTGTATTACCTTCTGATTAGCACTTGTGTTCTCTCGTCAAGCTTCTCTTTCGGAAGAGCTCCGAGTGCCCACTCTCACGAGAGAACACAGTGCTAACTCAGAAGGGTAATACAAAACTTGCAATTTAAAATTTAAAAAAAAACAAAAAAAGACAGAAAAAAAAATCTTTTTTCATTTATCTGCAAGAAATCACTTCAACTTCATTGCGATCCTCATCTGGGGTTTGTTGCCGATTCTGCAGATTTCAATCGCTGAACATATGCTACAACGATTGCCAGCGAGTACAACACAAGTTTGCCAACATTACAACAGTAAACTTCAGTCAGAACTTGCCTACAAATAATGAAACCCTTAAGCGCGGGAGCAAAGAGAAGCTGCTGTAGTGCAGAATCTCAGCCATCATAAGGGCGTCAAACTATACATGTTGCCAGGAACAGTTAATTTTCATGCTCGAGTGAGTTCCTCTTTCCATGCTGCCCTATTCTTAGCAGACACGAAACGTTGAATATATATATTGATTTCTTGTACATCATTAATGCAGAACAGAGAGCTGATTATGCAATGCCAATTCTATACAATGAAACATTCCCGAGTGAATGCCGTGTTTCAAGTTGCATTGCCTCGAATCAAATTGGATCTTTATTTTCATTGTTTGATCTCTGTTGAGTCTTTTATTCATAAATAATTTTGTTGAGGCGATTTACAAGATGAGGCCCTGTATGAATCAAAAGAAGCTTTTGAGTGAAGTTGGATCCCTTACGGGTGAGGATCGCCAGCACAAGTGAGAGAAGACGTGATCCCAATTTGCTACAAGTGCAGGCGTTAACGACTGCAATTGTGAAATATAAAGAACGTAGTGGCAAAATCCTTCGCCCCCGAGTTGGACTCTCTAACATTAAAGTCCATGAATTGGAGTCTATTCATGTTTCTCTACTTATTTTCCAAAAAGACGATTAGGCCTTCGATTGCATAAAGATCTTCAAGATCTGTTTGTTAAACAGGCAAAGATGTCTGTCTCAACAGTGAGCAAGATTAAGAACATCTGCCAAGATCAACTTCTTGCCTGGAACAAAATTACAGGTATCATAATCTCTTTGGTATATCCAAAGATGATGAATTGGTGCTTTAACAGACATATTTTGAATTGATGTTATATGATAGATTACTTTTATCGTTTGATGGGATAGATAGTTACTATAACCCTTACATTTTGTGAATTTAATGTTTATGCTTGGATACCTGTATTTCAGATGTCTGATTTATCTGCCATTGGAGACAAAGCAACAGAATTCTGAAGAGCAAAGAAACTTTATTCCGATTACAAATTCGTCTTGCTGTCGCAGAAGTGAACTTAGATTGAAGGAGAGAATCTACGTAAAAATCTTACACAATACGAATATTGCGTAAAATTTTATACATACTTAACCTGTCCAAAAAAAAAAAAAAATATATCACACTTTTTGGACTGGCTACATAAAGATTTCATCTTAATGCTTCTTCCCAGCGGAGAACTAAAGGAACATCCGGCTTTCGATGCTAGTAGCTACGACCTTTGATTGCCTGATGATGGCGTAGGTACAGAAGCCAAAAGATTTTTTCTTATCCCACTCACTGGAAGCACTTACGGGGGGGGGGGGGGGGAGAGGCATTGACTTGCTTACAATGGTATATCTTTATTTTGAAAATCTTAATAAAGTCATTTGTAGGTGCCTAGATATTTTTTGCGTGCTTTAGTTGTACCTGATCTCACGCCATGTTTCTGTTGTCATCAGAGATTCAGGACAAAAACATTCTTCTCATTTCGATAAGTATTCATGCCTGATGCCTCACAAGAGGATGTTTTTTGGTGGAAAATCTCACAACTGTAACAGAGTGC